GTCTGCTTTTCGGGTCTGACTGTCTCAGTGTCTGACTGTCTGCTTTTCGGGTCTGAGTGTCTGACTGTCTGCTTTTCATTTCGGGACCCAAACGCACGCTCTCTCCATTCTACTACTGTTCGGTAACATGCCTACCTGGCTTCCCTAAGCCCCAAACTCTAAAACCCTAAGCCCAAAGCCCCAAACCCTAAACCAAAAGTCCTGACTCCTATACCCTAAACCCCAAACCCTTGACGTGGCGATGCTGTATGGCCATGCAAGCGGCAAAAACCCCAAACCCTCAACCCCAACCAACAAAAAGTATACTCCTCGCAGGATAGCTCAGCCATGGCTCTCACCTACACAGCCGCTTTGCCTGCAAGGGGTGTAGGGTATTAGGGTTTCAGGGTTTAGGTTCAGGATTTAGGGTTTACAGTTTTAGGTTCAGTGTTCCTTTATGTTTTAGGTTTAGGGCTTTAGGGTGTAGAGTTATAGGTGTAAGCCTTTAGGTTTAGGACTAGTGTCTAGGGTTTAGGGTTTTGGGGTAAGACATGGACAATGTGCCCATTTCACGCGCGGGTTGAAAGTGGACACTGTTCCAAATCCGTCAGGCTGATACAGTGTTCTGATCTGACCTCTACCATGCGGCTAGGGTCTGCATATGAGCCATAGTCTCAACACCTAGTATCCTCTCCATAGTAGTCCCCTACATAGTCCCTTATATAACCCCTCTTTGAAGAGTTTAGACTATAGCTCATATATCAAAGATCCCGCGAACTCAGGTTGTATAAAGCCTACGGCTTAGGATGAGGGATGCTGGAATATTCAGGCACCCGGAAAGAAAAAACAGCCCCAAAACCTTAGGGTTAAGAGTTTACGGCAAATCCCTTACCCGCTGAACTCCCCCAACAAGGAGCCCCAAAGCACCCACATGCTAGGTACTCGAGGGAGCAGGGGCACCAACCATATACATGATGGATATTCCAAGGTCCCTAGCCCCAAGCCCGGAAAACTGATGGATTTTCCCAGGAGATCATGTCTCTGAGTCGTGACTCGCTTTCACATGTCCTGCTGGACTTCCCAGAGGTGCGCTGCAGCTTTGCACAAAGCCCCGGAAACCCAGGTAAGGGAATATATATATATAGGGTTATGTCGTGTTTAGGGTTTATGAGGATTGTTTGGAGGTTATAGGGTCACAGTCCATGAAATAGTTTAGGATTCAAGGTGGGTTCCTCGGTGGAGACTGTAGACTTGTCAATACCTACAATGGCTGCTATACACATTCAGGTCTAGTGTGCTGAAAACTTGAAGTTTTACTTGGTTTCGCACGTTTAGTTGTACGTGTTGTCACGATACTTTCATCTGGACCCTGTGACTTAAGCAATTTTCCATTACACTTTAGCAAGCCTCCATAAAACGTGCTCAGAACCAACCCAGAGGCTCCAAGCCACGTCAAGCTAATTTTCGGTCGCTAAAGACCATCGTATGAGAGACACCAGCAGGCTTACAAAGTTTGATCCGCACGTGTGGAGGAGGATTTCACAAGAATTGTGTATCGAAGTTTTATCAGGCGTTGACGGTGTTTTTCAGTGGGGCACTAGGCAGGGAACACCCAACTTACACCAGGTACAATGTCATAGTCCCCTTATAACGGCCCATAGAAAGCACTCATCGCCATTTTTGTTTAATCCCTCGCCCAGGCTCCACAAGAGCTCCCCATTTCGAGGAACTTGGGAATTGGTACCTGACCAGTGATAAGATTCCATTCTCCGTCCATCTCAGCTGGATGGGGGTTAGAGTCAGATCTGCCAAAGGCAGCAGCAATGCAAATCCTGACACATCCTGGAAGGGGACCCGCCATTCCCAGAACTCGTAGGGTAGATGAAATCCAGAGAGCTTCCAGCCCCAACCAGGAGCAGATGCGCTTCAGAAAGGCAGCCACACTGATGGTAGCCACCCCGGTACTTGCAAGCTCTTCCAGCCCTGCTTTTTTCTAGTCCTCACTAACTTCTGCTGCAGCTAGAACTACTAGCCTGCTTTTGCAGGGTGCTGCGTAGTTGCTTGCCCTTGTCTAGCTTTTGGCTCTGCTTGTCTCTGAGCTGTGGCCCATGAATGCCTGAGGCTCTCTTTGCAGTGGCGAAGATCTACCGAGTCGAGCTCGTCGCAGAGGAGCGGGATCCACACAACCGTGCGATCCCCAAGCTGGTGTAGCATTGGCTCCAGCACCGCAAGGCACTTCAATGCTGTGTTGATAGATTCGGCGGGCGGCAGTTGGGCCACAAATTACAAGGGCTGACCGCATGCCACCTCATTTTCCTCGCAAACGAATTACATTAAAGGATGTGCCAGCAGTACTTGTACTGATGCAAGTGCCACAGTAGCTACATTTCGGCAGGTCGTTCCAGAATTTGTTCGTGAGTTTTCTAGCTGCAGCTCCTACTGGCTGCTACTAGCCTTTGCAGTCTCAGCTTGCCTGTGGAGGTCAGGCCATTCCAAGTGACAGGGATATATCGTCGTCGTCGGACATTTTCACATTGTCGATAGCCATCTTCAGGAGTGCTGACAGCGCTTGGTGTTTGGGCTGTTTTAACACAAAGAATGTGCCTCGCTCGTGGATGGAATGATAAATGTTGCACCAGATAAGATCCCCAATGCGCTTCAATTCCACAGGTGTAAGGCACATAAGTTGGTGCATGATTTCCCCCATCCAAACTTTGTAGTAATGATACTATGTAATACTCATAGTGGTAACAGTAACAGCAGTAGCTGCAACAATAGTAGCAGGAATAGTAACCACTCATACCAAGACCCCGGAATAAGGATCCAAACAATGGAGCCCCCCCAAAATTACCCCTATTGCTACATTAGGTAAACTAGTGGATAACTGGGAGGTTCCATTTTTTGGATCCTTCAGGGGGTCTAGGCAGTAGCATTAGCTCATGCTCCCATGTCATTAGGTTGGATCCATGATGTCTTCGAAACGGCGCGCAAGATTGGACTGGAGGAACGGGGACAGGGTTAAGGTGTTGCCACCCTAAAAACCCTATAAACCCTAAACCCTACATTCCTGCTTTGTGCGATGCGCGTGTCTAAACCCTACATTCTGAGTCTACTGATACACGTGTTCTAGAAGACCTAAGATGAACGAACGGCTTCAGGGTTGTTAAGTTTGAGAGCGTGGGTGCTAGGGGAGCGGCTGTCCAGCATGCTTGCAGAAGCCTGATTCAAAGAGATTTAGTTTTTCTATCGCTGGGTATGCTGCGCGGTGACAGATCTTTGGATTGATTGGATTTCCTGTGGTGATGTAGGAGTAGCTCAGCGATCGCCGGCAGCCCTGCAAGGGCAACCGGCATGTCATGAAAGCCCATAGTCAAAAGTCAAAAGGGGCATCAAGTGTCATGTTGGCTGAGACGACGCTGGACACGCTTCCCGATGCCATGTGAGACTTCGTAGGTCAATCCCAAGCCAAACGCTGTCAGCAGCTGTCCAGTGGATTATCTTTGCTGTGCTCCTGGGCGAAAGACGTGCCAGCCTTATCAGGAGATCACGCCAAAGAAAGCCGATCAGATTATGGAGACCATGTGCCCTGGCGCAATCTGTGGGATGGTAGGGGTTGGAAGCTATGGGCCGAGACCAGGAAACTAAGGATCAGGTCCTTGAAGCCATTCAAACCTTGTTGGGGGTTGAGTATGGAGCAGGCTGGTAACTTCTCAAATGGGGGGACCCCATTATAGGCTCCAAAATGAGACATGTACCCCTAATTTTGGGAATCCCCCAAGTGACCTGAACCCTAAATCCCTAAACCCTGAACCCTAAATCCCTAAACCCCGAAACCCTAAACCCTAAACCCTTAAAGGGGATTGAGGGAGGCAGGGATGAAAGATACAGCCTAAGGGCTGGGTGGTCAGCTCTTGACAGAAGCAAGACAGATGGGTTTCCCAAAATTTGGTGGCTTTCGGGTTTTAGGGTTTTAGGGTTTATGGATTTTAGGGTTTAGGGTTTGGGGTTTTAGGGTTTAGGGTTTTAGGGTTTAGGGTTTAGGGGTACCTTTCAAGGGGTATATAGTGGTATATGGGGATACTATGGGGTTTGGGGTACCTTTTTGGGGGACCCTTATGATAAGGATTATTACAGTAGTTGTGGGTCTTGAATGGTGTTCCCCCTATTTGGAGAAACAACCACAAATGGGTATCAACAAAGAAGGTGAAGGCGGGAATAGGATGATTGGAAGCTTCATACTCCGGTAGACAGACGCTGCAGAAATGGGGGAAGCTCTGAACAAGAACAGAAGAAAGTGCAACTAGGGCAGCCTGGTGAAAACGGCAAGAGCTCCTATCCCCCAGTTTTCTTGTAGTAGAACCCCGCGGAACTATTAAGCATATTACTTTTAGTATAGGTCACAAGAAATTACAGAGAGTCTTTGTAATCCTTTACAAGGATCCTGCTGGACTCGACCCTTTTCAACTGCTGGGCTGCCTTAGCCTTGACAGTCTACATCATACGGGTTACCTTTCCGGGGGTCCGCCATAATAGGGATTATAACATTTTGGGGCCTACATTGAGGTCCTCCATGGAAAGGGTTTAGAACTAGCACTGTGGATTTTCGTCTAGGCTTTGTGGAGGGAGGGGGAGGTTCCCTAAACCTGAACCATGAGGGATCCACGGTCTCATGTAATCAGCCCCCATAAAACGACCCTAAACTTGCATGACAGCCTTACAGCAAAGGCAACCCTATCTGTACGTTGCGTGCCAATTTCCAGTAAACGGCAAGGAGTAACAGAGCTATTGCTCCTAGCAGTACTAAACTCCCTGGTGCTTGGGAGGGAATGGAGGAATGGATTATAGGGATTATTATTCGGGATTATATAGGGACTATTATACGGATCCATTTCCCCATTCCCTCCTACCCACCATGGAGTAAAGCTTTTCCAGCCCTCTGATCAGCCGGAGGCTCTAGGATTGCGACTAGTACTGTTCCTCTTCCTATTCCTATTCCTACTTCTACTTCCTATTCTTATTCCTACGCCTAGCCGCATGAATTTTACATTACTGAGGTAATCACTGATACGATTACTAACATCACTACTTAAGTGGACCCCCCACCCAGTAATAGTGACTACAAGGGATAATGGGGATTGTATCAGGGTCCTCGTATAGTCATATGATATCCCTATTCCAGGGAGGGGGGTCTAAATCCTAAACCCTAAATCATTACTACTAGTACAAGTACGTTTACCGAGGCGGGCGTCCGAATATTGGACAGAACGCATGCTCGAGGAGGAGCAGGTGGCTCCCGGAGAGTACTCAGAGTGAACAATACACCCCTAAATGCTATTTAGGGATTAGGGCTTAGGGTTTACACCTTTCAGGGGTACCTGATTAAAGAATATATCCTGAATGAGACTAGGATCCAGGGTCCCTAATGTGATTTCGGGTACATTCCTTATTCAAGGTGTGTTGGGCTCTGTGGGTACCAGCTAAGATGACTGGGAAGAGGTGGTTAGCAGGTAACGCTTGAGAATGCGTTGGCACAAACTGCTTCACTCAGTCGAGCCACGCATCCATGATTGCGACATCATCTAGCGCCATCGAAAGGATTACTCCCTGGTGCTTAGGAGGGAATGGGGCAATGGATCCCTAAAGTAGTCCCTATATAACCCCTAGAAATAATCCCTATACTCCATTCCCCATTCCCTTCTACGCACTAGGGAGTTTTTGGAGGCATGGGAGACAAAGTATGAACGTACTCATTCTCTCTGCTAGAGACATGTTCAACGTCGCTGCGTCAATCATTGGATCTAGTTCTCTGTGATTTGTGTTTTGATTGCTTATCATCGTTCTTGAGCTTTGGCTTTGTAATCTTTCTTTCGTAACAAGTTCGAATTCCGTTTTAAGCGGCGGTGGCGGGCAGTAGATGGTAATATGATCAGTTGTCTGGCAGTGATTCAAGGAGCATAATCATAAAAGATGTGGCAAAGGAGCTGGTACAGACGCAATTGTTGCCCACACCTACAAGATTTAAGTGTTAGCCCTCGCCTTAAAGCTTGCATTTCCTGTTTTTTCATGCCTTCCTGGCGGAGTGCATGCTCTGCCCAGCCAACTCGCGGCCACAAGTGTCACGACCAAGCGTTATGACTGACCCTTCTTCTAATTTTGGCTCTTGCTATGTATTTGGCCTCGACCCTATAGCCCCCCTTAAGTAGATAGAACATGGCTTTGGGTATATCATAATCAGATCCCCATATACCCGATATTCTATCTATGTACTTAAGGGGGAATATAAATCCTCAACCCTAATTCCTGCTCAGCGGCTTGATGATCATTTTTCTACTCTTTGATTATCTTGTGCATTTTTGTCTCTCTGCATTCTCTACGTATGTGGTTTATGATTTTGTGTCGTCCACCGGCCCATTAAGAATTCCTAGCCGTATCTTGCCTCCTTTCAAGTATGCCTTAGATGAATGAACAAAATTACGCTTCCTTTGAGGTTAAACACCCACCCCATTATATGAAAAACGAAACACAGACTGAAATCCTTCAAGATGTCGAAGCTACTACTGGGGATCTGTAACCTGGGGGGGAGGGGTGGCGCTGAATGTTGGGGGAAATGATAGTACACTTAATTGGATTTATGCGCGCTTGTTAATTACCTCTTCTTCAGTGAGCTCTGAGCCGATTTGCCACAATCTCCTGATCCCAAGACAACACTCACCCAGACCCCCTAAAGGATCCAAAAAATGAAGCCCCCTAATAATCCTCTAGTTTCGCCAATGTAGTACTGGGTTCATATTGGGGGGGTTCCATTTTTTGGATCCTTTAGGGGTCTGGGCCGGGGAAGTGGATTGGGTATTCTCACTGCTCCAAGGTTCATGGGTATCTATGACTGGGGCAAGAGTCAGGATAACTAGAGGTGACATTGGATTTAGACCCCCTTGGAGACCCTACCTCAAACTCAGTGCCTGTCGCAAGCGATTCAATATGCCTACTCCTTTGGCTGCTGTGTTATTCTAAGTTGTATTGCTACAGTGCATCTTTCCAATGGCATTAAGACACCGACTCTTGTTTCTTTCCACTGCGAGAAGGATGAAGATGACGCACCTGCTGAACTTGTGTTACAACTGAGTATACTACTTTCCGGTTCTTAGTAGGCAATAATATCCCTATATAAGCTCGATATAGTACATTCATTCATTCAGTGGTAACCCCTAGTAAGCTGTGCTAGCAACGCCAATCGTAGCTGCTCCCATTATTGCTTCTCCTTGTGTTGTAGATAGAAATTCTATTTTCTTTGTAATGGCATTAGTACTGGGACTGGTAATAGTCACAGTAGCGTAAAAGCAGGACAGTTCTACCAGTGGTGGTAGCAGCAGCAGTAGCAGTATCAGCACCAGTAGCAGCAGGAGTAGTAGGAGTAATAGTAGTAGCAGCAATAGTACAGGTAGTAGCAGCAGCAGTAGCAGCGCTAGTCCTGGTACTTCAGGCGAATAGTACTCGTGTAATCGTATCTGCGGAGAGCCTAAACCCTAAACCTTAAACCCTAAACCCTAAACCCTAAACCTTAAACCCTAAACCCTAAACCCTAAACCCTAAACCAAGGCTCCTGGTGCACTCGGAGAGCTTGCCCTCACGTCCGAGCAGAAGATCGTCACTTGGCGGTAGCGGGGGTTTCCCAAGGGGACCCTTCATAGGGGTTTATAGGAGTCATGTAGGGATATGTAGGATTCTAGAGGGGCATCAAAGAATTTACGGGTTTCCCAAGATTAGTGTTTTTTGCGGCGTCCCATATTAAGGCTTACAATATTTTGGGGTCTATATTATTGGGTCCTCTATTTGTGGAGACTGCCTAGTTTTACAAGTTCTTCGTAGGAAATGGAAGCATGGACCCCCGTACAGTAATTAGTAGCCTCTCCAGAACCTAGTTTCCATTTTCTTTTCCATAGCTTACCCCTACGAACAACCAGCAATTAGCACAAAGCTGCAGAGACAAGTTAGAACGAGCTCTAC